CGGCCATTGGAGCCAGCGTGACCCACGAATGCGGAAGGGCTCCCCCAGGGCTGCTGGCAGAAGGGAACGCTATAAATAAGCCCACAGTTGGACTGGACACAAATGGGCAGCCTCAGAGTACGCCAGTTTGCCGGCTACTTGGTGCCAGGAGCCAGAACGCGCCCAGAGACATCGCAGATCTGGAAGGTGGAGCCTTGCGAGTTCGCACAACTTCCCAGGCTCTTAAATCTGTGCGTTTGATTGTTGAACCCAGTGCATGGGATCACCCAGTTGGGGTCAGTTGCAGAGCTTGTAAGGGCAGGCTGTTTTTGGGGAGCCTGGGAAACAGAGCGGGGAGTGACTGCTGGGGAACCAGCTCTTGGCGGAGGACATTCCCAAACCAGCTTCCGGTACAATAGAAAACACCTGCTCAGAGAGGTCTTATACCCTCAGAGGTCAATCCCGACGCACTGCCACCTAGAGGCAGAACCACGAACTGACTCTTCTGTAAATACAGATGAGGGCTGTCTGGGAAACCAATACAGCCTGCCTTAAAATCAGGACTGTGGCTTACAACATGGAGGAACAGTGTATCGGAGGGAGATTCAACACTCTCCTGAATACCTGGTGTGCCAAAAAGAGGAGCAGAAGATCTGAAGCACCTTCATAACAGCCCATTTTTAATTTTTTTTAAAAATTATTGTTTCACCTTTTAACTAAGAAACCATTTTTTCTCTTTTTTCATCACCTGATTTTATCCTTTTAATTACCACATTTTTATTTTTAACCAGTGTTATTACTGCTACCATTTTACCCTTTTTTGAAGTGTCATTTTATTTTCTCTTTATTTTATTTTTAGTGTTCTACATTCTATTTTCATCTTTCCTTTAGCATCATTTTACTCTATCTCAACTTTACCTTTATGCCAAAACCCTTCCTCACTTTTCTCCCTTTTTGTTGTCCTGTTTCTCTTACCCTTTTCCTGCTCTAGATTTTCCCTATTCCTTCTTTTTACCCCATTAAAATTTCACCCTACTTATGTATCTAATTTCCAATCCTCTGCTCTAAGTCCATATACACTTCTCTCTGTTTCTCTACCCTATTCCTGCTTTAGATTTTCCCGATTCTTCTTACCCCCTGTCTAAATTTCACCCTACTTATATATCCCTTTTCCAATCACCTACTCTAAATCCTTATACACCTCTCCCTTATCTTTATTCACCATCCAAATTTTTTTTCTCTTCTTTCTCTACTGTTTTGTTGTTGTTTGCTCGATTGTTGAGTATATTGTTCTTGTTTTTTTCTTTAAGGATTGTTTGTGAGGTTGCTCTGCTTTTTCTTTTTCTGCCCCCCCCCCCCGCCGGGACCGGTTATTTTTGTACTCCTGTTTTCCCTTGCCTCGCTTGATATTATTGGTTGTTTGTAGTTTATATTCACTCCAGGGATCGTTGCTGGAATTTGTTGGGATTAGTGGCGGTTCTATCGGAGTTTTCTCCTCATATGAATAGTCTCCTCCCCTCTTCTACTTGATTCTCTTTTCTCTCTCTCTCTTTTTTTTCTGTTTTCGTTCTATCTTTTTCTCTTCTTTCTTCCTTATCCCCCAACTCTCTTTCCTCAGGTGGCCACCTTTATTTGTGGTTATTAATACCGTAATTCATTTGT